AAAAAAAATAGCCTGGCGTGTAAAAGAAAGAAATGAATACAAAGTATACACAATATGACCGGGTGGGTGGCTCATGCCTGTAATCCCAGCACTTTGGGAGGCCAAGGCAGGAGAATCACTTGAGGCCAGGAGCTCCCAGCCAGCCTGGGTAACATAGCAAGACTTCATCTCTACAAAAAAAATTAAAAATTAGCCAGGCATAGTGGCATGTGCCTGTAGCCCCAGCTACTTGGGAGGCTGAGGCAGGAGGATTGCTTGAACCTAGAAGTTGAAGGCTGCAGTGAGCTATGATTGCATAACTGCACTCCAGCCAGGGCAACAAAGCGAGGCAAAGAAAGAGAGAGAGAGAAGGAGGGAGGGAGGAAGGGAGGAAGGAGGGAAGGAAGGAAGGAACGAACGAATGAACGAAGGAATCACAATATACAACAGGCAGAAAGCATGTCCTTTACAATGATTTAAAGTTATGAAAAAAATTTAAGCCAGGTGAAATGGTGCATGCCTACAGTCTTGGGTACTCAGGAGGCTGAAGTGGGAGGGTGGCTTGAGTCCAGAAGTTCAAGGCTGCTGTACACTATGATCACACCTGTAAATAGCCACTGCACTCTAGCCTACATGACAGGCTAGAGACAAGATCTTTCCTCTAAAAAAAAAAAAAAAATATATATATATATATATATATATATGTATATAAACTTAAAATTTGGGTATCAAGTGAAAACAGGCAAGAGGGTTCTTGGGGCACATGAATAAAGGAATTTAACTGGATCCCATATTTCTTCTTCCTTACTCCTGAGCATCCTTTCCTTCTGTTCTGCTGGGCTTGTTCCTATCAGCATACCACGGCTTTAAGGAAATCTTCTTTTGACCCCCATAACCCATCTCCAGTTATTGCCCAGTTGCTCTGCCCTTTTTGCAACAGAGCACCCTCTCAGAGAGATCTTTCCTGAGCCCCTAAAAGCAGGAAAATCTAAGTTTCCCTGCTTTTCTCTCTTATAGGATTTTGTACTTTTCCTTCATAGTTTGCGTGTGTGTGTGTGTGTGTGTGTGTGTGTATTTTGGTTTGGTTTGGTTTTTAAGACAGGATCACACTCTGTCACCCAGAATGGAGTGCAGGGGCATGATCTCGGCTCACTGCAGCCTCTGCCCCCCTCCAGGGTCACATGATCCTCCCACCTCAGATGGAGTTACACCTGTCATCTCTGCTTCCTCATCTCCCACATACCCTTCAACCCATGCCCATGTGACTGCCACCCACTCCAAACACTCCATCAACCTTCCTCTTGCTAGACTCACCATGACTTCTTTGTTGCTAAATTAACTGGATGCTTTTCATTCTCATTCTGCTTGCCCTTTCAACTATTTTCAATAGTTCTCCACTCCCGCCTTCAGCAGCTTGCCACTTCCTCCTTCTTGCATTTTGAAACACCATCCTTTTTTTTTTTCTTCTCACCCATCTGGCACCTCTTTATCAGGTTTCTTGGCAGGTACCTTATTATCATTGCAGCTTCTAAATGTTGGTGTCCCTGTCCTTGGTCCTAAGGCTCTCTGCACAATTCTCTTGATCTCATCAAATATGAAGCTTTTATTTCATTTTATTTTTTATTTTATTTTGTTTGAGGCAGAGTCTCACTGTGTTACCCAGGCTGGAGTGCAGTGGCGCCATCTCAGCTCACTGCAACCTCTGCCTCCCATGTTCAAGTGATTCTCCTGCCTCAGCCTCCTAAGTAGCTGGGATTACAGGCATGCACCACCACGTCCAGCTAATTTTTGTATTTTTAGTAGAGACAGGGTTTCACCATGTTGGCCAGGTTGGTTTCGAACTTCTGGCCTCAAGTGATCTGCCCACCTTGGCTTCCCAAAGTGCTGGGATTACAGGAATGAGCCACTGCGCCCAGCCACTTTTTTTTTTTTTTTTGTATTTTTAGTAGAGACAGGGTTTCATCACATTGGCCAGGCTGGTCTCGAACTCCTAAATATCAAGGTTTTAAGTACATCCATATGTCAATAACTTCCAAGATTATATTCTCCAATCCAGACTCTCTTCTGGGCTGAAGGCCTGTATTTCCAATTGCCTGCATGACCACCCCACTGGAATGCCTGAAAGATATGTCAGGTTTTCCAAGTTCAAAACTGAACTCTCAATCTCCCGCAGCAGAAAATGGTCACTCTACCCACACTATTATTCAAGCCTGGAGTCATCCTTTTCTGCCTTGGGACTTTGCATTTCCCCCTTTCCCCAATGAGATTAAATCCCTCTCATCCTTCTTTAATTAAGCACCCTCTCAGAAAGGTCTTCCCTAAGCCCCCAATAAAATCTAAGTTTCGCTGCTTTTCTCTCATAGAATTTTATACTTTTCCATCATAGTTTGTGTGTCTGTATGTGTGTATGTTTTGGTTTGGTTTGGTTTTTGAGACAGGATCACACTCTGTTACCCAGGGTGGAGTGCAGCGGCATGACCTCGGCTCACTGCAAACTCTGTCCCCCTCCAGGGTCACACGATCCTCATCCTCCCACCTCAGGCTCCAGGGTAGCTGGGACTATGGGAGCATGCTACGATGCCCAGCTAATTTTTGTATTTTTTGTAGAGACAAGGTTTCACCATGTTGCCCAGGCTGGTCTGGAACTCCTGGACTGAAGCGATCTGCCTGCCTCCACCTCCGAAAGTGCTGAAATTACAGGCATGAGCCACTGCACCCAGCTTTCTTCACAGTTTCACCACAATCCATAAGTATATATTTGTTTATGTGATTATTTGTTCACTGTCTGTTTCCTAAGTTGTAAACTCCAGGAGGGCAGAGCCAAGGTCAACCGTGATATTTGCTCTCCCTCACCCCCTCCTACCCACTGAGAATAGTGTTGGGTAATCAGCAGGCGCTCAATAAATGCTGGATTAAATGAATGAGCTAGTGCATTTACTGATGGAAACTACCTTGTTTATTGGGAATAGCTTTGAATCGCTATTTAAAATCTGGATCAGTGCTATTAAAATTAGCACCTCAGGTAGGTGCTTCAGGTATCTCAGCCCACAGGTGCTTTTCTTCAAGCCTCACCTGCCACTGGCACTCTCCACCTGTAACGTGCAATTTTCATCCAAATAACGTGTGGTTCTGGCAATATCCCTAACAATCCCAAACCAAATAAAGAGGATTGTGACACGGACACTAAACGTGGTCCCGTTTGCGTCCCCATCCCGGAATATGACTCTAGTGGCTCATTAGCTCCATTCAAGCCTGGAAACTGCATCACCCTCCTCCTCCGCCCAGACCTGGGGGCTCCGACACCTTTCCCTAGGGAGCTCAGGCTAGGGCCTCTGCGCGAACCTTCCGTGCAGCATGGCGGCTCCCGAAGCCCCGGCCCAGGACGGAGTCTTACGTACAACAGGGCTGTCTACGGAGTGTGAATCTCGCCCACTTCCGCCCAGCTACCGGAAGTTGCCGTTTGAAACGGCGGCGGCAAACTTGGCCCGCGACGCGGCGGTTGCTGCCGAGCATCTTTTGAACGAGAGCGACAAGGACTGCAGGCAGGACCGGCGGGCTCCTGGGTTCGGCTCTCCCGGGGCTAGGGACTGGGCTGGATGGGAGGAAGGACGGAATGAGCTGGGAAAGGAGGATTTTTTCTTTTCCAACCCCCGAGCCGGGGCCTGTCGGGTCGCGCTACCCCCAGGCCCTCCACTCGCTCCGGCCCAGTGGCCCAGCGCTGGGTAACATTCACCCTGCACCTTCCAGGTCTCAGCTGTGCCGCCTCGTTATGATGACCAGTGTGTCTAAAGCAGTGTATAGCCTGCAGCCCACCTTTGCGCTGAGCGGCGGCCAGCCCGCAGGTGAGAGTGTCCACCCCGCGCCCGGGGCACTGCGGCCCGGCCGGGGATGGTCCCGGGAATGTGGAGATTGATTGGGTGGCGCGGGCAGAGGGAGAGCGTCCCGTCGGCCCTGACGACCTGTGAGCCCCAGTAACCAAGCTATGTAGGTTTTTGATGGAAGTTACGGGAAGGGCCATGAGGTAGGATTTTAGACCTGCTCTGATTTTTCTGCCCGCATATGTACTGTATTCATCAATTAGATTCAAGTTGTTGATTATCGTACAGTGTTATTCCCATTAAGCTAGGAATCCCCTTCTAACGGGTTATTCGTCTTATTTCCAGAGTTGGGCTATATTGAGGGATTGGGTTTGTTTTCAGGGAGGAAAGAGGAGAGTCATTTGAGAAGTGGAATGCTTAGGGTTCTTCGT